CGTTTGCAGGAAGAGATGAACATTTAATATTAGAATAGATCGTCAAAACAAATCCTCAATAAACATTGGTTTTGGTGATAATACCGGATGTTCTAGTCAATATTATTCTTCATTTAAAAATTTTCTGTTGTATCTAATTATAAAAGAACGTCAAATATGAACCATAGATGGTATGTCAAATAATAATCGGCCGCGGATAATTTGTAACCAGCAGCTACGAACCAAAAAATGTTACTCAGCATTTAATAACGTGTTTATCAACTGATAATAAAGATGATGAATAAATTTAAAAATAATTTTTATGACAAATTTCAAATGGAATTCGTCATAAAGAAAATATTCTAAAACATTTGCACAAAGTACATTATTCTATTTTTGGTCACCACGAATCGTAATTAAACGTAAAACTATAACTCTATCAACAAAAAGTATCAATGATATGAATATTAAATTTTCATTTTTTCGTTTATTATACTCATAGTTGTTACAATAAAAGACAAACCGAAACAATTAACTTCACAAAAAAATTACTTTATTAATTATAAAACTGTGATGATAGACTGACACAATCTTCAATGTTAAAACTGTAAATAACTGAACATAACTGGTAATTATAGATTTATTGGTGTTATAGTACGTACTATCTATTGTAATTGTGATAGTAAATGGATTTCTCATTTTTTGCCATACTTGGAAACAACGAATTTTATCATCTTATCCTAAAGTTTAGAATACAGAATGCTTGCTGTCTATAAATTCAATCATTTTACAGCTAACGTATCAAATATTTTATTTTATTTATTTATTATTCGTTTTAGCACACAAAATATCTAAAACCCATAAGTACCATTTCTCTATTTGAACAGCTGTGGTTTCATCCTCTGCTATTTTGGTAATTCCATATTTTTGGTTTTTTCACCTATACTTTTCCAAGTTCTATAGTCTTTGCTCCCTTAAGAAATGAAATTAACACTCAATGGTTTGTATACTAGTCAATTACTCAGAAAGACCTTAGGACTGTAATAAGCACACATTTCATTAGTATATATTGTTTAAGATATAAGTTCGTTCAAATTATACAGGCTTCGAAAGAAATAGGTGATGTTACCTATTTATTTGTTGTTAATTAGAAATACATATTTTAACATATTGTCATATTTTTGCTTTACTATCACAATGGTGCCATGTTTTTGCTTGAGATCTTTGCTAATTGGAACAAGTCCTTTTTTCAACAGATGCCTTTTATAGTATTACCACCATTCTCTAATCAGAATTCTTACCCAATTCTCTAGTTTCCAATTTTCATATTCCATTGTGATTATTTGACGCAACATTGTAAATATGAAAACATCGTAAGTTTTTAATGGGACTACTTTGTAACGTTGGTCAAAGTTATACGAATATTAATATCACAATAGTTACAATTTAGGTAGGATAATCGATGAATGACAAATTGTTTTTCATTAATTTTCGTACTATTTTATCGTCTCTAATTGCTACATTGTTTTATTCTTAAAAATCTGCAGAGTTTAGAGTTATTTCTTCAAATTTTTATTTCCGAGCTTCCATATAAAATTTTTAATTCGGAAGAACATATTAAAACTAAGAATGATACTCAAAAAAAAACAATAGGTTCAAATCTATTATGGTTTAATGATAACTTACATTTAATAGCGATAGTTTTCGGATTAATTAAGATGCAAACTGTAAAAATAGAGTTTCACTCGACGTTTTCGCTATGATTTAAAGATATGTATAAGTAAGATGTGCACAATTTGTATTGAAAGATAAATATTCAGGAAACTTTCTGCTTTTTAGAAATAGTAATGAAGAAAAATTTATATATTATTCATTTGAACCTAAATGGCTGAGCATAGACAAATTTTACGCCAATCTAAAGATTATATTTAAAATAATGTCGTTGATCGCAGATTTTGATAGATATCATTTGGATGTACTTGTCAGAAAAAATTGTTACTTTTTGAAAATAAACTTAGAATGATTCTTTACGTATTTATAATAGCATTTTATTCTACTGTTAATAGATTGTTGTCAAATACTAAAAAATTATACCAATTTAATAAAAAATTGTCTGAATTATAAATTATGATATTTTGAAAATAAATCTACAAAACTCGTATTCGTAATATTTCTGTGAGAATCGAATTCAAAGGATGATAATTTACCAGTCAATGCATAATCTTTGTCACATTATAAAACAACGCAAAAATAGCAAAATTGTCCCGTTTTGAAAAAATCATCTTTGTTTATTCACTTTGCATCACATATAAATATTTTCAGATCTGCTAGGACAAATCATGGCTACCGATCCTTTGTTTATGGAGGTAGGATTGATTGTATAAAACAAATAATTGGTTCAAAAAATTTTTTTTAATTAATTTATCCAACTTCATTTTACGTGCATGCGTTTCACCAAAAACCATCTTGGCCTTACTTCGATCACAGCACGAAACCACTAATATTTTCAGTGATTCACTGTTCGAACTTTCCTTGAGGTGCAGTACATTCACATTGGCTTTGTAAGAAAATTTGTTACTATCAGTCAATGGTGACTTTTTTATCATACTTTCCAAATAGCCGATGTATGCTATTATATTTGCACGACTGTTTGCAGCTCTCTGCTGCAAGCTGATAACTTTTACTCATTGATGGCTATATTGATCACATATTGCACTAAAAAGCATATAATTTCATTTGCAAGTATCATAACTAACTTCATCCCTACACATATCCATGTGAATAGATAGTCTAATCTAAGAATCAGTCTACTTTGTTGGTTATTACTTTTATCAACCAATATTCACGTATGTATGTCATTTCAAGCTAATTTTCTAAATTTTCACAGGTTAACTTTCCATCATTACAAAATGAATGTCAGGTTATTTTAAAGGTAGCAACCTATTCTATTGATCGTTATTTTTCTTTAAAAATATTTAACGAGTTATACACTGTATTAAAAACAATATACAACCACCTCCAATATGAAATTCAACTGGTTTGTGTTCTAAATAAATAATAAAATCGATTACTGTACAAAAGATTTATCTCTATTGTTATTTTATTGAGAGAAATTATTAAGATGTACTTATTCGTTGTTAATGTGCTAAAATAACCTTCTTTTCGATTAAAAGCGTACTTGATGAAGGAAAAGGTATTGAACTGCACTATGAACTCCCCTATTCCGGTGATCACAATGAATATTACATACCTGTAAATAAACACTTTTCATTTTTAGGTGTAAAAGTATCAACGCGACTAAGATCTATAATACTGCTGTTCATACTTCAACCACCCAAGAATAATAAACCTGGTTCTAGTCGTTATTGACAGTTCATTACTTCATCAGAAAATACACGGCTGCCAATAATTAAGGTGTTTAAGGATTAGGACCAACCGATTGATCGAACAAATTTACAACACCTTGGTAACCAATTATTTCAAAAAGGAGAGATAAGTTTGTTTTAATTGGTTTATCTAATAAATATTTAGGTGCATGTATTACATACATCAGACATGTGCATATTTATTATCGATGATCCAATTATCGTACACTTAGCATTTATGAAGAAACACCATGAACCAATATTAATGGGCAATTTAACATGTAATCAGGTATAAAATGTGATAGTATTGCGTGTTGTGGTGAGATAAAGATAAATAAAGATGCTTTTGTAATTAAAAACTAGATAATACGTTTAGACTATTTTAATACTTAATTTTGTGATTTATTTTAATACATAGACGTGGTAACTGCATGATGATGCATTCATAAGTGTTTTAATACCACATACCTACGTAAAGGTGTTGTTTTAGAGCGCTATATTCGTTTAGAAGTATAAAAATAATTCATTAAGAAGAGCATTCTTACAATGAAAAATTCTATCTCAATGTTAAAAACATGAAATGCTCAACACTATTTTGTATTTTATCCCGATATTTCTACTAGATAACACTTCACCTATTTCTTCTAAAGCAGTTTATCATTCATTTCTACCAGCTATTCAATCATACTCCCCACAATTGTAAGTTATTTTCTTCACCATAGCATTATACCATATGTACCATTGCCCATTATTTAACGGCATCCATCATTACTTGGTAAAACAAACCAACCATTTTTATTTACTCCTTTCTCCACAATCACACCATTCCCATTTAAACCATTGCCAAGCAATCCCACATGCGAATACACGTGCACGATACCATAAAGTTGTACAAGTGGCACCGACGTGCACTCATACCATATTTGCATACCGTATTTGGCTCTAAAGAAACCGTAATAAAAGTATATAGAATATGTGTTAGCGGTAGAATAACCTTCTGTGCACTGCTCAGTGCAATTTGTGTGATGAAAAAGGTTGTTAAGTACAACGAAATGAAGATTGTAGAACTCAAAGGCAAGAGTGTAGATGGGAAGGAAGGTACAGACGGTGCACAATACGATAGTATGCGTGATAAACGTACCAGTAATGGGTGCAGAATGAAAGTGCATGAGTTGAACGGGCCATTGAAAAAACTGTCCACATCTTTGAAAGACGATTACTTGTTATTTGCTGCTTCTCTTATCATCACAACAAAAGTTCTGTTTGATTATGTGTATGCTACTACAGATTGGTCCAAGCTGACCAAGCTGACAGTTAAGCAGCTCAATGAGGTTGAACGCTACGTGCTCTTCCTTCTCGATTACAAGGTGGTGTTGGAAAATGGTGATGTTGAGGTCGCGATGCGTATTTTTGAGAAAAAGGGCGAATGCAAAGTTGTTTTTGGTAAGAAAAGCGGATTAAGAGGTGTTGTGGAATGGATGGTCAATCTCTTCGGGTGTGAAAACGGATGATGTAGTTTTAATACCAAGAAAATTGTTAAAAAAGAACACGGGCACCTGCTCTACAGAATAATTGACTGCAAACTGTGTTATTAATTGAGCATATCCTTTAAAATCTAGTATTAGCTATATATACAAGCATATTTGACAGCGCCATGGTTCCATGGTCTAGGGGTTATGACGCAGGTCTTTGGATCCTGCAGCCCGGGTTCGAGTCCCGGTGGAACCTTTTAGATTGCATTTTGAGATCTTCAATCTACCACTGATCTTCTTTTATTCGTTAAACGTAGAAATCGTTTAATAATCCAGCGGTAATAACGAACAAACTTTAATTTTATTATAACACGACCAACATCCCAATGGTTAAGCGATAAAAACTTATTTCTGTCATTATGAACATTTCCTTCCTCAAAAGGTATGCGTATTAGAGAGTACCATAATATTAAATTTTAGCTCAGCCAAACATTACGTGTGTTGTATACGTAAGCAAATCATAAATACGTGCTATTAAATCATTATGATCACGTATATGCTTACATCAACAGATGAACCATTCAACAGGTATCATAGACTATTACAATCTAAATAATTAACGTATTACCTCATTACATCGCAATATTTGTCACAAAATGTTCCACAAATATAAATTTACACTTTAGCATCCACAATTAATCACTGAACTATTTTACATCCCCAATCAAACAGGAAATGGTGATGAGCGATTCGAGTGACATAGAAATCGTAAGCACAAAAAGAAAGGATGGTGATGTTGAGGTTGTAAATTTTGGTGATAGAAAAGGACGTGTTGGTAGGAAAGGTACTGCTTTGACAATTAATTTGAGGGGAAGAGGTAAACGCAGGCGTAGTACGGCAAATGATCGTGAGTTAGACAAAACGGGATGTGTTGAAGGTAAAAAGGAGTTTAAAAGCAAAAACGCGAGCAATAAAAACGAGAACAATAACAAAGACGAGAAAGATAAGAAGCAGGAGGTCAATAGCAAGGAAAAGTTTAATAGTAAAGACAAGAACATTAACAAAGAAGTGCGCCAAAGACCACACGTAAATGAAACCGTTAGTGAACAAAAACGTACAATGAACAGCCATACAGACGCAAGCAACAGCAAATGGCGTAATGACAGCGAAGCAACAGAAAATGGTAAAATGAAAAGCAACGAATTTATTACGAACAAAACTGAAAATCTTCAGAAAAAAAACGAAGAAGACCGTAAAATAGTAGAGCAGAGTAAACGATTTGAAACGAGCACCGGAGTAACGCAGGAAGAGACAGCAAAAAACGCTGATTTATTGCACAGCACTGATCAAAGCATCAACATAAATATGCAAAACACGTTACAAGCACACGTACAGTATACACCGGTAGATCATAATTCCTACCTAACACAAAAGCACTTGATCAACAGCAAACAACACACACCAGCACTTACAGCGAGTACTTCTCATCAAGAAGCCGCCATACTCACAGCACCATCCGATCACATAACCTTCACAGTACAGCACGATACAAACACCTCCACATTTACACTGCCACCATCATCCACTCTAAGACCCGTGTACGACCAGCTATGCAAGAACACCCCCAACAAAATACAATTCGGCCAAAATTTCGTGAGCAGATTTTCATCACTACACGTGCTCAACATCAAGAACGGCGACGTTCTGCGAATAGTTAATCCCACGAAACGGTGCATAGATGACCGAAACGAGAGTGTTGCGACAAGAAAAATGGTTAGGGTGAACTACGCCGTGAACAAAAGCGTTGAAATTGAGCTGCTAGAGGGCGATGATTTGAATGCACTGGTTGCGCGTGTTAATGCCGTGCTGAACGACGAGTACCGGTACTTTGTTATGAACGGAATGCGATGTGTTAAGAATGTGTTTGAGGACGGGGATGTTGTTGATGTGTTTAGATGAGAAGGTTTGGCTGTATTGAACGCTTTTCCTATGATTAAGATGATATTGTTTGTGAAACGAAGTAAATCTCGTTCAACGATTCATTTAATCTTTGGTAA